GTGGCCGTGCTCTTACTGGGCTGCTTAAGAGGTCCTGGGAAACAGAGCCCTGGGGTCACCTTGGCCCAGCCTGCCCGTGCCAGCGTCATCCTCCCTGTCCCTCTGCCGGGCACGTCACTGCCCCATGTGCCGTTGCGCCGAGGGCATCGTGCCGGGGTGACCCCTCCGCGTCAGTCCTCTTGCTTGCACGCAGGACATCAGCAGCTCCATGACCAACAGTACAGCTGCCAGCCGGCCCCCGGTCACCCTCCGGCTCGTGGTACCCGCCAGCCAGTGCGGTTCCCTCATTGGAAAAGGTGGTTGCAAGATCAAAGAGATACGAGAGGTGCGTGTTGGCCAGCCCGAGGAAGGGCTGGGGGGGGAGATGCATGGGGTCTGGGGGGTCCCACATAGCAGAGCTGGGGCATCACTCGGTGTTTTTAGAGCTCCTGGTATTTTTAGCGCTTGTGAAACTGAGACTTGGGGCAGACCCTCCCTTTCCCGGCACCGTCCCCTGCAGCGGGATGCCTGGCTTCTTGCTCCCCCCTTTCCCTGGGCTCTTGATTTCCCCTGCCCAGCCTTTTCCCAGTTGTTGGAGGGGGGGGAAAAGCGCTGCCAGGCCCGCACTGCTCTTGGTAATGCCTTGTAGCACCGGGTGCTGCCTCCAGATGAATTCTGTCCAGCTCTGCTGGCTGCAGAGACGGGCTTGGCTTGGGTTACAGGGAGAGGCCGCAGCCCCAGGTCCTCCTGTCCTGCCTCAGGCTCCTGATGACCGAATTATTTCCAGCTAGGATTAAAGGACTTTATTTTGGGGGCGAGGAGGAGGAGTGGGGGCAGTTTTGGCTATGTATAACCCAACCACGGGGTTTGTCGCTGTGGTCACAGCCCTTCCCGGGGTCTGACCGCCTATTTTTAAACGGTAAACTTTACAGAGCACAGGGGCACAGGTCCAGGTGGCAGGAGACATGCTGCCCAACTCGACCGAGCGAGCCATCACCATCGCTGGGATCCCACAGTCCATCATCGAGTGCGTCAAACAGATCTGCGTCGTCATGCTTGAGGTAGGGCCTCCCACCAGCCCCGTGGGCCTGGGTGGGGTTTTTTTTTCCCCCTCAGGGAGGCAGGGGTGGGAGCAGGGATCCCCGCTGCCCTTGGCAAACCACATCCCTCCTCGTGAGTGGAAACCGCTGAGGACAGAGAAAGGGTTGCTGGAGGATAAAGGGGATAGCTGGGGATTACAGCCTCATCCAGGTGAGGCTTGGAGCTGCTTAAAACCAGGGTCGAGCCAGGCCTCTAGAGCTGCTCACCGGTGGCTCCGTGGTGACCGTGGGAGCAGGGATCCCCGCTGCCCTTGGCAAACCACATCCCTCCTCGTGAGTGGAAACCGCTGAGGACAGAGAAAGGGTTGCTGGAGGATAAAGGGGATAGCTGGGGATTACAGCCTCATCCAGGTGAGGCTTGGAGCTGCTTAAAACCAGGGTCGAGCCAGGCCTCTAGAGCTGCTCACCGGTGGCTCCGTGGTGACCAGTCGTGCTGCCCAGCACGGTGACACTGAGCAGCGGTGTCCTGCTGTCCCAAGTCGCCCTTGCACGCCGCTGTGCTCCTCGGGTGTCCTCCCTCAGCCCCGTGCCTGGGTTGGGGAAGAAATAGGATGGCTCTGCATCCTCCCAAACGGATGATTCCAGACCTGAAGCAGAGCGTTGGCATCTGGGGTGGGGGGAGGGGCCTGCCGGTGCCAGCGGCGCTCGGTGTCTAACCTGTCCTCTCTGCCTGTCACCCAGTCTCCCCCGAAGGGCGTCACCATCCCGTACCGACCCAAGCCATCCAGCTCTCCCGTCATCTTTGCAGGCGGTCAGGTAAGGCCTCTCCTTTGCTCCTGGGGTGCGGGGTGGGGAGGGGAAAGGGGGTGTCTTACCGAGCTGCCGCGCTGCCGGTGCCCATCAGCCGCTCTGCGTGCCTGTCACCCACGCCGCTTCCTCCGGCGGAGAGCCGCTCTGCTTGGCCTCGGCCTCCCAGAGCCTGCTCCCAGCC